ATGAAGTTAACTAGAATTAAAGATCTTCTGTTTTTAACACTTTATGCTTATTCGATGATGCATCTCTTCTTTTTAGTTACAAATGAGGATCTTACATGAAAACAACTAATTTCCACGACAAGCCAGGGCATTTGTGAAGCTTATTCCCAAAGATAAGAGATTAAGTCAGCAAAACACACACACAAAAAAAAGCTGAAGCAATGTTTATTTTTCCTCCCAGGATATTCAAAATCACCTAAGAAATATGATGTTTACTAGACATTTAGTTGTTTGTCACTTGGAAGCACATTTGGAATAATATAAATATAATTTTATCAACTTTATCACTTGACTCACACATATACGACACTTTTAAAAAAGGTTACCTCAGTGAAAGTTAAGATTATGTTTGTTTTTTTATATTGGCTAACCTATTGAACTGAACATCTTTTCAATCTCTGTGTGGGACATCTGATCAAGCTAATTTCACTTTCAATCCCACACCCAGCTACAGTGCACTTAGACATATTTTAGAAATCTGTTCTTTAGGGTTAATTTATTCAACGATGAACATAAAATATGCAAGGGCCTCTAAATATTCCACGTTAGTTTTATAATAGCCACTATAATAGTACAGGGGAAATGCTACGAGACATGATACCAACTGATAGAGTTGCGCCAATATCACTGATACTTGTTTGCTTTTCAGATTTTAGTAAAGATAAAATTCCTTTTCTATTTGATATATATTTAAAGGGTAAGCAACTATGACATATTTTAAGACATCCAGTAATACTTTGAAATGATAAAATCTTTTAAAAATGGTTTTATATTTTCCTTAAAGTCCAAATAATTCAAGTATTAATACCAAAATCCAAATCTTTATTGTTACCCACTTAAATTTCTGCAATAATCCATTGATTTTTGGCTCCCATTTTATTGATGCATTCAAAGTACAGTGCCTACCTTGCAGATTCTTGTAAACTTACCAACACACTCATTCTAAATATGACTTTCATTGTGAGATTGCCCTGCTAGTGAACCTGCATTCATTCTCTCTGCTGCCCAATATCTGAGATTTCTTTGAGTGAATTTCTACTCAGTGAACCTAATCCTCAACACAGGCCTTGAGAACACAGACCCATGCCTTCTACTCCCTGGTACCGCATCACACTTCCTGCATGCTCCTTGAATTCTCTCACGGAGTTCTTACTTAGAGTGGTCTCCCTCCAAACATATCTATCCAAACCTAAAAGTACTGAGACCTAACAATACTAAGTAAGACCTACAGTTTACCTGCAAACTAGCATTTAGTGCTCTTTCAGTTCTATGATTCCTTAGTCAGAAACTCAGTAATAAAATGTGTTTTTAGATGACTCCTTAGATAAATAAGGATATAGTGCAGACACCTTATAGCATAATTCATTGTAAAGTAGATTCTTTCTTTAAAAAAAGAAAGCTGTACTGATCCTGGTGATAAATCATATGCTTGACATTGATATATTAATGACTATATGATCATCTAGTTTTATGGCATCCATTTTCCATGATTAAATTACTCAAAAATCCACTAATTATATCCTTAGAAAACATTCACTTAAAAAATCAGATGAGATTTTCAACTAAAAATCCAAAATGAAAAAATAAATTCATACTACTTATAGAGCTTTTCCACTTAATTAATACATTAAGACTTTGGCTGTTCTTATTATCATTGTTTCTTTTTTTCCACTATTTTTCTCAGTAGTGGTATAAAAACCTAATTTTCTGCTTAAATAACTAGATAATGTAAGCTAACAAGTGAACTTAGTTTCGTTGTACATATGTAAAAAATGTAATGTTATGGAAATATAAACTTTTAATTTTGAAAAGATATTTATCTAGTACAATAATGGTTATGAGAGAAATTTTATTTGGTAATTTAAATTTTTTTAGTTTTTTTTTTTCAGATAGACGAGAACCCCAAATTTGTTTTCTTAACAGTTACACACATTTTTGCACTGTGTTGACTTGATAGATTAGTGAAGTTCCTTTCTTGGCAGACTCCTTTCTTCCATGAAGTTTAAAATTTGGACATCATAGTTTGGGTTCAGTAAAGAAGTTTCTGCCTTTTCAGATTAATATTATTTTGTGCTCATAAATACTCATTGCCTTCAATGAGTCAAAAAAGGGCAGCCAGACTTTATTTACACCAAAGACCTTGAGACAATGGTGAATTAAGTTAGGTGACAGTTTACTATGTGCCCTAGATAATCCAGGAATAAGACTCACTACGAAAACAGGGTTGCCTTTTACTTTGCCCACAGACAAAGTCCTCCGTTACTGGAAAGAAAGAAGGTCTACATCTTTATGTGTAACAGAGTCCACCAAAAATGTACACACATTTCAAGAAAAGAAAAATGTATGATGTTTTTTCAACAGATGGTGCTACCCTCATAGGGGACCCTAGAGGGTGTCCTATAGCACAGAAAACTGACTATACTTCTGAAACTTGGAGAGAAATTGAAAATGGGGGTGCGGCAATCTCAGTGGTCAAGTTTACTCGAGCAGTAGTTTGCTGTACTAATAAATGTCTGGAAGCTAACAGCCATGATTTTGAGCACTTCTTGTAATTGTAGAAGCCAAGCATAACTTGTATTAATCTCACGATGTGTCAAAAAATTTAGTATTAAATATTTTTACAAGATTTTCTTTAGTTGAAATGTGTATACATTTCTGGCAGTCTCTCTCTCTCCATATTATATAATACATAGATTATTATATATTATATAAAGTAGAAGCCAAGCATAACTTGTATTAATCTCACGATGTGTCAAAAAATTTAGTATTAAATATTTTTACAAGATTTTCTTTAGTTGAAATGTGTATACATTTCTGGCAGTCTCTCTCTCTCCATATAATATATAAGATGATTTTGTTTAACTTCATGTAACTAACCTTATGGGCAGAAATGCCATAATAAGGTATCTATAGGTTCCAGTTATTGTAAAATGAAACATTTCTGAAATTAATTCATGTTTTTTTAAAGGGAAATTAACAGTGGGTCTATAACTTTGCTCTTTTTTTCTATCCTGGCCATTCTCCTTATAAATATATATAATATATAAGATGATTTTGTTTAACTTCATGTAACTAACCTTATGGGCAGAAATGCCATAATAAGGTATCTATAGGTTCCAGTTATTGTAAAATGAAACATTTCTGAAATTAATTCATGTTTTTTTAAAGGGAAATTAACAGTGGGTCTATAACTTTGCTCTTTTTTTCTATCCTGGCCATTCTCCTTATAAATATTGACCAGTAGATTTACTAGATGGAAAATAAATAATGATCCTGCAGGGTTTGCTAGGTAGTGATTATTGAAGTTGGAATGCTGTAAACTGGATATTTTTCAATAAGATACTTTATTATAAATCACACTCTAATCTACGGTTCTCCGGGCTGCAGATGCACTGAACAGTGGTTGATCATGCAGCCACCACTGGGAGATGGGATGAGCAAAGTGTAAAAGTTAAGATCTCAAATCCTATTAAATTCTTTCTTCTGAAGAGCAAAACACATCCTGACACATATTAAAATAAAAATGGAATGAAAACTAATTCTGATGCATACGAACTTGTTTTCAAATAATTTGCACAACTTGTGTATGACTTTAATAATTTGGAATTCAGCAGTTGTACAATGTGTATAAGGTTTTGCTTTTCAAAAATTAAATCTTTATAAAACTTGTGTAAAGTAGCTAGCACATGTATTATTAGCCACAGGGAAGAAATGAATTTATACTGTGGTGATAATTTTAACAGTAGGAAATCTAGAGAAGCAACTGCTATTTATATAATTCACATATGAGATAGATCCTTAATTAACTTATATGTTTTGCAGTTATCCAGCATGCAGCAGACAATTTAATGTGAATCTAATAAAGCTTAAGGTTCAGGACAGTTTTTGTAAATTATTTCCTTTTTAAGCTCTTCACAGTTCTCTGACTAGTCATGCAATTGGTAATATTGGGCAAAAGAAGATACTGTGACCATGATCAATTAAGACAGTATCTTCTTCCTTCACCAACTCTCTTTGCCATTCTGTCTTGCACTGGGTAGTATGGAAATAGCCAATGAGGAAGAAATTTGATAAGGGATTCATTTATTTTGGGTTTGTATAATATATTTACATGGTGAGGTATAATTATAGAGCTTGGGTTTTTACAATGAAGGCTAGTAATCCTAGTGCAGCAATAGTTTTCTGGAATAATCCTATCACAAAATAAATATAATAATGACCAAAATAGTACAATGACAGAATTTGTACCATGGTATGTTTTATGGTGTCCAAAACATAAAATTTATTGGCAGTGGAGGAGAACCAAGGTCTAAAATAGAGTCATAGGATAATCTGGAAAATTTTCACAAACTTCATAGTGCACATGACAACCAAATGTAATACAGCTTTTCTTAAATTTGAAAATAATCTAAGATATTTATAATACAATAGTAATATGTAAAGCAAATATTTCCAAGATTTTAACAATAGAAAATATTTTTATCAAGCATCTTAGAGAAATTTATTTTACTACAAATTACAAAATTTTATGAAGGGACATCCAGAGATTATAACATATATATAGTAAAAGTATCATATATATAATATAGATACTATATAACTATATAGATACTATTTAACTATATCTATAGTTATATGTATAGTTATATATTAATGCAAATTGTCTGATGTATACAATCTTTTCTGATAAATATTATACATATGATTATAGGTATATTTCAAATAAAAAATTTAGGGAATATTTTTAATGTTAGTATGATGAATACATTTCACATGGCAAAAAATTTGTACAATTTTATGAATGTATGAGAACAATCTATGTTTATTTAAAATATAATATTACCATATTTTAAAAATATTCTTGTTTAATATTTTACACATGGGGAATTTAAACAACTCTCTTCTCGAAGTTAATATGCTTATTTAAAAGTGCAAGAGTATTCTAGTCTGGATGGTCAAGAAAGAAAATCAAAAGCTTTTTCTGTAAAAGAAAGCAATTTGGAAACTAAGAAAGCAAATGACCAATCCAGGTAGTCAAGATTTAAGTTTATTTATACGATTCATATTTCCCTCTTGAAAGGACATTTACAAACTTGATTTGAAAAATAAAAGAAATTCTTAATGACAAATGTTCGTGTTTTACAATTATGCTTTTTTGTGATAAATTATCATTTGAAAATGCTCCAGTGAAATCTGGTACCAATTAATTTAACACTTCATATAAGAAATAGTAAAACATTTATTTTCAAGTCTCACATATATTATTTAAAATAGATACAAAGTCCATTTTGTAGTTTTTAAATTTTTCTGCTATTTCAAGCTATCTGACAGAAAATATCTAGCAGAAAGTAATTTCAATAGTCATTAATAAGGATGAATTTAAAGCAATCCATTCTCATGTTACTTAGCCATTAAGTTGGTCAAATAACAAATGAAATTGTCTCGGAAAGAAATAGTATTTATTTGGCAGGTAAAATCATATTTGAAATTACTATAATGTGCAAGTTAGAATCTAATTCAGAAAGCTGATTAAAAATTTAACATTGCACAAATTCATAAATAGTTCATCTCCAAACATTTACCTGCATTTTTGAAGCACTCTGGCAACAATGGGGTGAGATAAGGTAGAGAAATTTTGTGCACATCTACAAATGCTTGATAGATGCATTAATGTTTTTATTTTTCACTAAGTTTATTGGTACTTTTTAGGTATACAGTACAGTTACATTAATTTTTAAAACAATTTCTCAAACATATTTTGCTGTTCAAAAATATAAACTTCCTTGTTTTCTAAATATACAAGTGTCTTGTGGAATCGTGGATTCTGGAAAGAAAATATTGAGGTATGGCATTGAATAAGGCATCAACATGCACGCTACTTTGACTGAAATTCAGCAAAGTGCGATCAACAGAGACGTTGACTAAAGTGTGCTCCCAAAAGTCTTCCAGGTTTTGCCTAAATTTGTTAGCAACATTAAATAACTGAACTCTTCGACATCAATATATACAAAGGCATTTTATTATTAATCGAAGAAAGGGAATTAGAATCATCAGAAATTACAACTTCATTTTTGTAATACATCTATTTATTGCCATCATAGTTCCGTAATTATCAGAAAATTAGAGTCAAGTGGGATTCAGAGATGTGCAAGTTTTGGAAATTGACACATAGATAACAGTATAGAACTGTACATAAAATAATTACAATTTATTAAACACACCTTTTTAGCATACTCTTGATGGATGGGAGTGAGCACCATTTTTTATGAATATATACTTTTCTCTCTGTTTTTCTACAGCACCAAAGAAATCCAAATAGGAAAAGTAGAGATGAGGGCCAAGGACCAAGAATCAGCCTTATTCCATCTCAGCCGCACTATCTCAGAACCTTATGATTCTCAGAGTCGTTTTCAAGTGATTCTGCCCACATAAGGGTAGCAGTGATTTCTTACATGGTAAAAGTTTACCTAGCAACTTGCATTCTATGCCATCCTTATTTAAAACTGGCATGTGGCATAAAATGTGTTGGTCGCACCAAAGTTTATATTTTGTTGATTTCATAGGTTCTTTCTCCTAATCTTAGCCAAGAAAACAAACTGGACCAACTTCAAATCCACACTTCTGATTCTGATCACCAAAGTCATTGATCATTACATCAATGATAGGTACTTGATCAATTTTCGGTGTGTTGATTTCGATCACGGTCTTGTCATAGCCTTTTCTGGACTGTAAAATTAAGCAGAAATTAAAAATTATGTGATCATTTATTATTTTTAATAAAATTATTACTTTTTCTTATCCTTCTGAGTGGAAGTAACAGGGCGAGAGACTAAAGAGTGGGAAACTGTATTTTGCCAGTGCTATTGTAATTCACATTTTTAGCAGTGTTTCACATGTAGTTTTAAACTTTGAACACTGATGATGACATTTAACATTCAGCTGTAATTATTCAAATATTGTACTCTAACATATAGCATAATTAAGTAGAATCGATAAAGATAAGTAATGAAAATAATTTAGTAACAAAATTGATATTGTTATTGGAGCTCATATAAAACATTCCTGCCATTATAATTAAGGTAATATAATTCAATTCTCTTATGAAAAAATTGTAATATAAAATTATAAGGCAGCAAGCTGAAAATCAAAACATTTCTGCTATACATTAATTTTATTCCAAAAAAATCCACTATTACTGAGAATGTTTTTCACAACTTCTACTGTATGATTTTACATTCTCCTTTTTATTCTAGTGTACTACACTTGAAACTGTGAATTTGTCAATGTATAATTTTGAGTTCTCTTCGGTCATTACTACTCAGCTAAAGCAATTAGGTATTATATCAAATTCCCATGTGTTTCAGACATAGTTCTACAGGATAAAGAAAACAAAAGTGATAATGGTTCTCAAGCTGCTGTAATATTGCTAATTAAGAAACTCCATCTAAAACAATAAAGTTTATACTTAATTATGTTATAAATGGCACAGTGGCAATTCCTTTCTGTCATTGTAAAATAGATTAAGGAAGAAGTAATATATTTTTAAATTTCAAAAATGACTAAATATAATACTTATATAATAGTGCAACAGTATTCAAATCTCAAAACTAAAATGACACATGATCTGAGATTCCCTTTATTTTTTTTGGTACCAGGGATGGAACTCAGGCCCTTGTACTTGTGAGGAAGGCAGAGGAACCACTGAGCTAAATTCCTAGCCCTGAGATTCCCTTTTTTATGGCTTCAATAATGTGTCTATGTGTATATTTCCAAGTGAATATGTGTGTGTGTAAACATTACTGTTTTTTTAATATTCTGTGTTTTAATATGTCAGAGTTCTGCATTATATCTTAATGATAATTGATATTCACTTCACGAGAGAACTCTGGCTTGGTACCAAACTGAGGCTTTTCTATCCTGCCTCTCGACTCTGTGAAAGAAGACAGGCAGGCACAGACCATACTCACCGCACAGCCGTCATACAGGGCTTTGATATAAGGGTTGTTATCGTAGGACATCTCCTCGTCATTTGATCCCAGGAACCGAAGTGCTTTGTCATAATTTCCTGACGACATATCATACCAGGCGACTGACTGATGACAATTGTAGGTGAAATTTTGCCGAGCAGAAGCAGTCAGTAGTTTTAGGAATGTCATCTGTACCATGTTAATGGAATTTCCTTCAACATCTACATATGAAAGCTGGAAGTAAAAGAATGAAAATACATAAAAACTCTCTCCCTCTTATAAAGAATAAATCAACCTTGACAGTGACCTGCAGATGAGTCCACAGACCTACTTTACCCCAGTGGAAAGGCATGGGGCACTGTACCTAGAGCTAGGGATTTATGAACCTGGGATTGCACTCAAATGACAATTACTACTATCACCACTGCTTATGTTTGACAAAAATCACTCTATCTCTAGGCTTTGGTTTTCTGATCAGTAAACTGCAAGAAAACAATGCTTCTGATTTCAATAAATATTTCATTGCATTTGTGCATCTTTTTAAAAGGGTGATGAAATAACGAAAACTGAGAAATCTCAGGGCAATGTTAAGGTTAGCTGGTTTATGTGTTTTTTAATTAATTAATTTATTGGTACATTTAAGATATACAATGTAACGACATTCATCGATGGAAATGTGTACCTTTACATAATCCATCTTGAATCTTATTTATGTTATTTGATACGCTGGCTCCTTTCAAAACTTTCATAATGTATTTATTTTGTCCAACTATTCAGTCATGTTCCTGCATATTTTATTTAGGAGCAATAGCTTTCTCAGGTGTCTCGTTTGTGGAGACAAACACAATATTTATTGTGGACATGTCTTTGTTCATTCTGAGATGATGTGGAAATTCACCATTTTATCACCAGCATCAAATATAACAACCAAGACAATATGAGTGAAAGTTCATTGGGTCAATATTTACTTTTATGTATAACAGGAAAACAGTTTTAACTGTAAATTATCAAAATCCGTCCCGTGTCATTTACATAACTTATTTATCGGGTGTTACTGAATTATCTGAACAAAGTTGAGTTATATACATCTGAATTTTTAAAAATTAACATTTTCTCAGATTGTCAACATAAAGGCATTTATCCGTGACTTTTTTCCTTACATTTAATTTTACTTATTCTTTACTGATTAACAGATCATAAGATGTCTCCTTGGAGAGTTTAGAAAAAATTCTATTTGAGAAATACACTGTAAAGAAAAATGAATCAAAACAAGCCAAACATACACATATATTTTTTTAAATATTTCTTTAACTTATACACAAAGAATGTATTGTGAATATTCAATACATATCTTGAAGATTGAAATAAAGAAAACTAATGCAAAACTTCATTGACAGTCATTAATATACATGGGTTTGTATAGGAATAATAAATGCATGAATGTCATCAATGGTAAATAATAGCTTCTTGGTGCTGGGGATTTAGCTCAGCGGTTCGGTGGCCTGCCTTGCAAGCACAAGGACCCGAGTTCAATCCCCAGTCCCCCCCAAAAAATAATAATAATAATAATAGCTTCTTTAAAAAATACAGTAGATGAATAATTATAAGTAAGAAAAACTTTAATTGGAATAACTACTAATTAAAAGTAACTCAAATATTTTGAAAAGCTTTTAATATAAATTTAGTTTTGATATCTAAAAATATCTTTTAAAATTATTAACGTGAGGTGGTGAATTTATAAAAATATTAAGTAAATTTGCATTGTAATACAAGTACAAGGTAATCAATTTACTATATTACCTTAGATTTACAATCAGAAAAACAATTGCACAATCCAAAAATTCTTTTTTTTTTCAGCAATTCTTATAGAAGTAGAGAACTGAAACCAAACTAGTTTTCAAGCAGACAAAAGAAATAGGGGTCAGAGATAATAAATGAATACTATGCTCTTCATGCCTGATATTTGGAGCATAATACATTTTATAACTGTCTCAAATGTTTAATGAATTTTTCTTTGGTGATTTTTGAAGTAAATTTAGTATAGATCAATTTACTCTGATAAAATATTGTAGACTGCTTTAAGATACCACAGCGGTCTGATAAAAACTAGATGGAGCAAACTAAGGAGCACATGGAATCGTGCTTAAATAATCTAGATTTTCACAGTCAGTTTGGGAAATCATAATTGAAGCTTCCTTTACAGAGTTTAAGATAAGCTATTTAATTTTGAGGTAATAACATACCAGTTTTCCTCTTTTGAATTCACTAAACCAACTTCCTGGCTTCTCCTTTGGCCATGATGAAATTCTTACCTATTATAAAGGAACCAGAAAATTAGAGTAGGTAAAAATTATGTAAAGTATCATGAATATATCACAAATTTAGTATGATTAAGAAGCTGACTGGCTTTTAAGATATTATCTCCTTAGTATTATACAACTGAAATACATTTGACAGAGATCAATCCTCTAAGTGTCATGCAATGAAAATTGAACCATTTCCTTCCTGATCTCTTTACTAATTGAAAAGAATGGGAAAACCAACCTGGTAAAGGAATGTTACAGACTGTAGGGGATATCAGAACTCTTAGGTAATTCCTACAAAGAAGAACCTCAAAATGTCAGTTGGCATCAACTAGCAAAGCAAATAACACTGGAATTCTGCAGCCAAGATATTCTGAAAATATTTAGGCAGAAACCAAAGGCAAGATGCTTTGGAAAAGTCATTGGCAGGAAGAATATTTAGAATTTTTTAGAGATGTCCATTTATTGATATTCTTTGTAACAATTAGCCAAATGTGTGCATTTGTAAGGCCTCACAGCAGGGATTTTCAGTAACCAGTGTGGGAGGAGGCATTTTCCATTTTTGCCACATTTCTTCAGGGTTGAAGAGTTAATTTTATCATCACATGTCAAGTGAGGTTGGGAGATGAGGTTTTTTTGTTGTTGTTGTTTCTTGCACCTACTCTACACTCTTAAATTTTTTTTTTTTTTTTTTTTTTTTTTT